CTGGATTTTCCCATTCAGTGAATAGCGTTCGGCGAGTGAAACAGCAGCTAATAAGACAGAAGACCTCGATCCTGTTGAAGTCGTCAGGCCTGCCTCTATTCAGAAACAGTTCTTTGCGTTTCAATATTCATGCCATCTGGACTAGCAGTGAGCTGAATCAACTTTTTCTTTAACCAAAATTAGTTTCAGCTAGTTTTAGAAGTTCTTCTGATGCTTTTGTTTTAAAACAAAAAAAAATTTAAGTGTTTTGGTCATGCAGATGTTGCATACTTCTGATCACTTGATGATCCTTAGCAAGGAATCGTTGTTTTCCTTTAGCCTGGTGTTTCAGTGCTATCCTACACTAATTCGCTTGTGAATTTTAATGGAAGTTTGAAAATTGTCTGTTGAAGTGTTGCTTTATGTTGCTTGATCATTATCACAAGCTGAAGCATTTCAACACCATTTGTTTAGTGTTTACCCCATTCTGTTTTTTTCATGTACTTTTTTATGAGCTGGAATACGTAGAAAATGGGAAGAAATGTTCCCATGGAGCTTGTGAGCCAAGTTATTTTGGATTTAAGCCTTTTATCCTTTTAGGTTGTTTTCTGAGACTTTTGATTCAAGATGTTTCCAGTGACGAAGTCCTGTAGCTGTGATTTGAATAAAATGAACGTGATCCGTATTGATACGTGTGATATGTATTTTTGATTGATGAGAGGAATATTATTCCCGATGTTAGAACTGGCTCAGTTGAAGTTGACAGTACACACTTTCAGCTGTTCTACTGCTTGATGACTCCATAGCCTCCTGGATTTGCATTTAAAGGGTCCATGAAAATGGGTGAGTGTGCTTGACTTAGTCTTTGTTAAGCTTGTTAGTGATGGATGCTTACAGAACCCTTGGGAATTGTCTTTATCACACGTCGATCACTGGGGTCAAGACCCGCGTCTCTGGGCTCAGGCCACGCCAGCAGAAAACTGCAGTGCTGGTTGTTTTTCTTTTTGGTTGCTTGCTGGTTGCTTTTTTTGTCCCGTCTATAAAGTTTCTGTGTTACGTCCACGAGGCCGAGCTGAACCCTCTTCTCGGATTCAGGTCGCAGCTGTAGGAGCAGCGTTGTGATTTACTCCAGGAGCGATCGGGGACTTTTCCAAATGGCAGTTTAAATATTCAGAATGGAAGTAATCCAGAGAGCCGAAGAAGAAGTCTGTGTACCGGGGGAGACGAGAGGCTGCAGAGCACGAGCTTGTGTTACTGTTACTCTGCTCCTATTTCATTTAGGTTGGGAATCGCCATCTCTAACTCGCGCACGTGCGCTTGAACCTGCTTGTTCACTCGCGCCAATGACTAAACTGGAACTTTGTTCCGTCTCGTGCTGGGAACATCTATACCAGGGCAGGGCTGCGGCGCCCAGTTGGCCGGGCCGGACCGGGCTCTGGGTTCAAGCGCCGGGCTTTCCCAGCTCACGGCCCGTTTCTGCTTCCAGAATAAAGAGGAGGTGATGGCCGTGCGGCTGCGCGAGGCAGACAACATCGCCGCCATGGCGGAGCTGCAGCAGCAGATCGCCGAGCTGGAGATCCAGGTAGGGGCCGCGCGCCGCGGTCGTGTGCGCTCGCCCGCTCGCTCGCTCTGCCCCGCGCCGCGCCGCGTCTTGCAGGGCCCGTGCCCGGGGGGGGGGTGATGTGTGGGTTGGGAATGGATGAGCTTGGAAGCGACATTCGTGCGTGTGGGTGTGTTCGTTCTGTCTGTTCTGTGTCCCCCCGTGGGCAGTGAGGAGATCAGCACCTCTTCGACATCTGAGAAGCACTCTGCAGCTGACCCTTCAACCCCCTTCCTAGTGACTTTTTGTCTACACAGCACTACGACCATAAATATCCATTTTCCGTGCTGCTTAACCCACGGTACGGACTCTTTTTTCGGTTTGAAGAGCTCAAGTCAGTAAGCGTTTGGCTGCAGGAGATGTGCTTGCTGCTGCTGTGCGTTTCCCTTGGTGGTTGCAGAGCAGAAAAAAAAAAAAAGTGAAGTTGTAAAGCAAAACAAACCCGCGCGCTCTTATCTCGCAGCTGCACTTCCTGGTCACCACAGGAGGGAGTTGCTGGCCCAGCACTGCTGGGAGGCCCTGATAAGACCCCAGGGCGCCGAGCGCAGCAGGTGTCAGGAGTTACAGGCTCTGCAGCTCGAGCCCTGTCTGAGGTTAGCGGGGCACAGCCCCTGGAATCTGTGCAGCGTGAGATAGCAAGAGCAGCTCACCTTTATCTCTCCTTCGCAAGAACTCAGAACGCTCGCTGGAGGCCGCGCGACTCCTCTTCTACAAAAAAAAAACCTCACCCCACTTGCGAAAGACCGAGCCCCCACAGCGGCTCGGAGCCTTTTCCCGGCTGCGTGGTAGATCTGAAATCTGCGGGCGGGACTCTCCTGTCACGCCCTCCAGAAAGAGTTTCTGTGTCCGGCAGTGCAGAATGGTCCGTGTCCCCTGTGTGAAGACTTGGATATCGTGGATCTGGACAGGATGTGCATGGCCTTACTGGGACAGTGCCGCCTTTTGTGCTTAAATCTATGGATACGTGGTGTATCCAGGCCAGCGTTTGTGCTTAATCATTTCTTCATCACGCCTTGGTGCAGAAACCTTGCAACATGCTGTTCATTTCTCACTGTGGCCATACCCGTTTCTGAGCCACATGCTGCAGAACACCAGCCAGCACGTTACTCTCCTGTGTGTCCTTCACTTGGCATGTGCTGATCTGTCCACTGTGACCCGCCTTCCTCTGGTGCGCTCGGGCAAGTCAAGAGAAAAGTACGGATCGCTGTTTCTTGATCGCTGGCAGAAGAATCGAGTTCTAATTCAGCTCTTCTTCGACGCTGACTTAAAGCTGTCGGGGACTAGGATGCGATCCGCTGCCTGACCCTGTCTCCTGCCTGAATGGAAAACAAAAGGTTACATTACCATGGTGATTTACAAAATAGCGTTATTTGACTGAAATGATTTTGAATACCAGTAAAAAAGCCCTGATGTCATTTCTGCATGATGACATTTTGCTGCCCATGTTGCACCACGGCCACATGTCTGAGGGTGGGGGCAGAATCGCAGTCGTGGCACTGATCCCATGATAAGTGCATAGGAACTGCTGCAATGTAAAAATAAAGGTTCCTGCTTTGAGTGCAGGCAGAGTGAAGCATAACTGATTTTGTGATTAACCTCCCTCTTCGAGTCATTAGCCTTCCGTATCTATGTGACTTGTCTTATCTGTTTTCTGTGCGTTTTCTTACAAAGTCGAAAGACCTGGTTAGAAATCTTGTGAGTTCATTATGCGGAAGCCAAAGTCTAATTTTAGTTCTGCCGTGTTTCTCCTATCGCAGTAAGCAGACTTACTTTCCTCGGCAGCTTTATTTTTTTTTGCAAGACAGTTTTAATCTGATGGAGTTGGGGTGGTGCTCATTATCGTTGCTGCACCATAGCTCTTTGGTCCTGGGTTCGATTCTGGAAGGAACCGCCTCCTGTGTGGAGTTGGCATACTTTCCCTGTGTTCTCAGCGGTCTTCTCTGTGTTCCACGTTCCTCCCGCAGTCCAGATACACACTATCCAGACTGTCATCTCTAGAGTGCCCCCTATCTGTGTGTGACTGTAATGCGTCCTGTGCCTGCTAGGTTAGGCATCCCTATAATGGATGGATTTTAATCTGAAATTAAAGTGCCCATTCAGGAAGTTTAATCAATGCCTGAAAGCCTGATAGTTTGTTTTGATTGAATTAGAACATCCAGCGTGCAGTTAAATAATGGACATTTTTCTCATGTGTCCAGATCAGTAATATCTTCGCTATTTAAACCTTGCCAGACCTTCACCTACCTTTCATGGTATGCAGTTAATCACAGCTCAAAATAAAATGTTTATCAGCCTGAAAGTGCATTCAGCTGGATTGTTTTTTTGACCTAGGATGCGTGTTGCTGCCGTGTATGTGAAACGCCCATTCAGGTCACATCATTTTGTTCATCTTTAAATATAAGATGTTTAATTCAAGTATCAGAACTAAACTCTTAAGTAAAACATCTTCCGTTTCAGATGTCCAAGTATGGTTTATGGTGAAGTATTTGCTGCTGTGGTATGTTCTTGTTTATTCGCCCAAATGTGTTTATTTGTGGCTCACGGTCCATTCCCAGTCTCCCTGCTGGAGAGCTTAATTCCGCGGTTGTGGAGACGTGGCCTCCACTCTGTGCCACCGAGCCACACTAGTCCGTTCAGAAACGTTCAGACTTTTTTTCCCACTTCGTCAAGAGTTGAAAAACTCATTGCTTCCACCGTTCGTGTGTTAGACTTGATTCTCGCTGAGGCCGACAGTTTACAGTAAAATACAAGGATCCTGGGTGTAATCTTGAAAGAGGCAAAGAAATGAAAGTCTTGATTTGAAGGAAATGAAGCATTTCAAAGGAAGCTGGCGAGGCTCACGCCCAGGGCTGTTTTTTTCCACTTCTACCCAAGGGGTGGGTGAAGATCAAGGGTGATGCAGCAACACGCCACCATCACACCATGCGTCTCGAGAACTTTGTGCAGCATAGAGGGGAGAAAAAAAGTGCGAGACGTTAGATGTCTAGTTTTAAAATTGTACACATACGTGTACACCCACGGTACTACTCATTTAAATATTTAACAGAAATGACAGATTTAAATCACTGAAGGATGCTGCAGGTCATATTCAGGTCATGTGCGAGACAAAGGCTTAGAGACAAGAAACTGTTGATCAGAAAGGTGGGGATGTAAAGGGGCAGTTTCCACTGTGTGCCAGCTTGTGCACTGTGTGTAGAGCAGAGCTGATCGACGGGAGAGAGATCACGCAGTTCAGGTCTTTTTTTCGTGCGGTTGAAATGTCTGCGCCTCCAGATTCGTTGATTTTGTGTTCAGCAAGCGTATTTTGGGAGTGCACTAACAGTGAGCAGCGCAGAGATCTTCGACATCTGAAACTGACCCTTTTTGCCTACATACGGTCTATAAATACCTGCGTTCTGTGCTTTTTGACCCATTGATACTGACTTTGTTTTCCAGTGGTTGCTGTGCGTACGTGCACCTTGAAGGTGTCATGAGCAAATCTTGACCTCTGTGATTCAAAGTCTCAGCCCTTTGTCAGATATTCCAGGATGTCTTTTTAAAAAGAACCCGCTGTACTGTGTCAGAGCTGCCCACAGCTGTACGGACTGAGGTTTTGTAACTCGGTCTCGCAGCAGCACCTAGGTGTCTCGGTGTTATTTTTTTCCTTCCTTCCTCGATTCGCGGTATGCAGGCTGCACCAAAGCTGCATTAGGAAAGGTTAGGGGCCTCTTGATTCTAGTGACAAGTAAGTCCCTGCCTGTCCATCTACTGAGCACTCAAAAGTGTGAGAAAAACCGACGAACGTGGTCATTTTCTTTAGGTGTGTGTGTGTGTCTGATGCTAGGCATTGCTAATCAAGCTGTTGCTTGATAGGAGGTAATCCTAACGGAGCTCCGTGCTGTGCCAGAGGTTGCTCTGTTGATCAAGCAGAACACCCACTCCTTGTGGTGCCCTCGAAACAGCGTGGGGTGCGAGTTGGTCTGTGGTTGGGGTGCCTGGTTTTGAGTGCAGAAGGCTGTGGGTTGTTGCCCTGCCTTATTCACAGGTTTCTCCCTGGCTCAGCCATCGTTCAGCAGGAGCCTGTGTCAAGACAGGATCCTGCAGTCTGAACTGAATAACCGTTATCCTGATTGCAACATCCTGCCAACAGCTCACAAGAAGTCTGAGCTGTATTTGAGCTGACCTTGCGCAGAGTCTTATTGGAGGGTTTGGGCACAGCGCAGCCTGGACAGGCCCTGACTTCTGTTCTTCCACAGCGCCACAGGTGCAGCCTGCACAGGCCTTTCTTCCACATGTGGAATCTGATGTACTCGAGGAGGGCTGGGGCAGCGCCCATCAGTGTTTAAGCTCATTCGTGAGGCTGGGGCAGTGCCAGGTTGATGCTGCATTAGATCACATAGCATGCACAGAAGAAATGCAGAAACCTCTCTAACAATGCATTCGGCTCTACATTTAAACCCACCTGCACAGAAATGTGCTATTTTCAGACGAGCCTTTGAGATATGTTCGGTTAAGCTCTTGTAAATCCTCTTTTACTCTGCAGAGATAAAGTGATAATTCGCTGTGTTTTGTTGCTGATGCTGCTGGTCACACTGTCGTCTTCCTTCTCCTTTTAATAAACGCCCTTCAGCAGCCCAGCTCGTCTGTCTGGCCCGAGGGACATTTATGCTCACTGGCATGTGTTAAGGTTTTGATATGTTAAAAAAAAAACACCTCCCGCCCATGTTCATATAGTTCTTTTGCTTTTCTTAGAGTTACTGGAAAATGTCACAAATGGAAGTGATGTAGTCAAGATTTTCATGACTTGTTTGAAAGCCTGAAATGAGTCAGCTGCTTGCTCGCTAGAGGACACTTCTAAACCACACGTTTCACACATTGCAGAGTAAGGTTTCGTTTTCAGTCGGAAATCTCTACCTCTGCTTGTCAGACCACAGATTGTAGTAAAATGGATCCGTAGGAGAACGGAGCCCGGAGCTCCTCAGCTCCTCCAGCAGGGCCTCGTGGAGGCGTGCCTGTGCCCTGCAGGGGGCACTGAGAGGAGGTTGCTGAGGCTGTGTGCAGCGCTTGGCGTACCTGAGCAGGACTGGATCGAAAAGAGCACCTCGCACGGTGGGGTTTTTCCTGTTTGCGCAGAACTTTTTGGATGGCGGAGGTGCTCGCATGACCTCCCCCCCCCCCCCCCGAGACGCCAGGGGTCCCCTGCTCTTCAGAATCGAGTCTGTCGGTCTGTTCGGGGGCTCGTGCAAACCTGCGGGGGGGCGGAGAAGGGGAGTGTGAGAGTGGTGCTCTCGGTCTTCTCCCAGCCTCAGCTCTCTGTTGGGCAGCAGGCGTGTCTGCGAACAGGTGCTACCAGAAGCTACCTTTCCCCCTTGTATGTGTGTACGTGTGTATATCATAGATTTCTAAACAAACTGAGGCATAAAAGGAATCTCATTAGAAGCATCCAGATTTGTGTTCATTAATATTATGGACTCTGTTTACTACAAAAACGGGAATGCCTATAAAAGGAATTTGAACCATATTTTGGGGGGTTTTTTGCAGCCTGCAGGATTGTTTCCGTTTTTTTCTCTGCTTGTAATACCAGATGTGAGCAGTGGGAATGAAACGTTACCCAGAATGTGCCTTATAGATGTCTCTGGGTGTTAAACCCCAAGTATTTTGTACGTCTCGTTGGGGACTCTTCAGTTATAGAGCAAAACCACTTTATTAGAATAACCGCAGACTGCAAAAAATACAGCATTTTGAGCAGACTTTTTTTTAAGATGGCTTCTGCAGTTGAAGCAGGCCCACATATTATTGTTTTCAAGAAAGCCTGCTCCATGCGTGACCCCTGTGCAGACCACAGCTCAGTGTGCGTTCACTAAATAACGAGAAACCACATCCTACCTGCCTCAAAAAAAGTACTGGCAAGAGCAAGAGGTGAAACATGATTTTATTTCTGAGCTGCTTTGCTTGTGTTGAGTTCTTTGAATGTACGGTATTTTCAGTGCTTCTATCCCTTAAATGTCCAAGTAATAAAAGAAAGGACTTGTGCAGCATAGTGAAATATGCTTTTTTTCTAAAATGATTCTTGAAATAGGAAGAATAGTTAAAAGCAAATGTGTATTCCAATAAAATCCTTAATTAATAGGGCAAACATTTGTTAATTCTAGGGCTTTCTCTGACAAACTGAACAAAGGCCTTAACAAGCCTTAGTGTTGCCACTGAAGGACAGGCAAGATTTGCCCAGAGCTGAACTAAGAAACAGACAAACATATTATGAAAAATTATTTTATATGTTGAAGAGTCACTGGGAACCAGTTTAGAGATATACATGTGGTATGTAGTTCGTTTCTCAAGAACAGCCAAAAGGCTTCTCAATTTAACATTTAGTTACCGAAATGCCATTGATACTTTTTGTGTG